AGGAATGAAAGAAGTAGATTCTGATTATCATTTATTTATATGTTAAATAACAAATCCCTCTGGGTGTGGCCTGCTTAGGTATTTTGGGATGTGCATCTCCTATAGCCTTTTTCCACTCAGAAACTTTTCCAGTAGAAAGGAGGTTTCTCCGCCAGCAAGAGCTGAACCCGCAGAACGTTTTCGGGCTCGGCAGCAGGCAGAGCTGGCCTGCTCTCAGGCTGGCCTAGGTTTTGTTCCCGAATGAGCGATGCAGACCCCAGTGAGCTGAGCAGGGAATAACCTGAAACTTCTTCAGCTTCCCTCTGAATTGTGTCAGAGTCCGAGTGGAATGCCAAATGGCTGCCTAATTTTGGCACATAAGTGAATGTCTTTCAAACTTTTCCTGCCTGAAATCTGTATTGCTGTTCTCAGAGCGAATACATTTTATTGCACAAGCTGAATGAAAATGAGCTACTGTCCACTATTGCTTGGATGCCGCCTTTTCCCCGTGCTCTGTGCCTGCCCGTTGCCATTCCGGTGCAGCCATCAGCGCTAGAGCTCGCGGCAGCTGACACCTTTGAACAGAAACCTTCCGGCGCCAAGAAGGCACCACCGCACTCGTGGGCTTCCCGTTCCTGCAGAGACGTGTGCGCAGCACTGCTTTCCACTGCCGGGCTGGGCGTCCCGGCGAGACGGCGTGGGGTGGCCAGGGGCATCTTCACTCCTGCGAGCTTGAGGGGGCTCTGGCAGTCACTGAGGCACTTGTCCAGTCCCGCAGCCCTGCTCGCGGCTCCGAGGGTGAAGTCTGTCTGCCATGGATGATGTGGCGCAGCACGGTTTTGTTGTGGCCAAGATAGCAATGTCTGTGGTCTGGATGTGTGCCGCCGATGGCTGGTGGCTCTTCTGCAGGGCTGTAATGTCACAGCAGCGGTAGTTCATTAACCAAAGCATGGCGGCTTCACTAACCTATTTTTAAATGCTAGCTAATATTATCTATCTATTTTGTTAAAGTGCAGTGCCGTGTGTTTAAGAACGGCTGTTAGCTAGA